ATGATTTTTCTCCTATAAATTTTCTTGCAAAACAAACACTAGAAAGTGGATTTTCTCACAAAAAAATTCTCAGCAAACAAACACATTATAACTAACTGAGAAAATAAATTTTCCTCTTCTCATCCCAACATTTCTCATCCCATCCTTTCTCAGTCCAATTTTCTCAGCAATCAAACAGACCATTATGGGATGTAATTTCAATAGCAAAAAGTTGAAATCTTTTGTAAATTGAATAGTCATTAAAACAAGGATTCACAAACCACTATTTCTTATCTGATTCTAATATTATTGTGTTCACCTTCATTCAACATTTTGGATGCTTCTAACATGAAGTAAGCATGTCAAAATATTGTCTGGCACTATTTCCTAGCCATAGGTAGGTATGCAAATCCTAATTGGCCTGACAAGATGCATATTATGTTCATTCTTTTTGAATATTCATTGACGAATTCATTAACTGGAAGGCATAAAGCATGCTAAGTTTCGTTATTCATCTTTGTCTTTCATATCTCAGTTCCATTGAAGGTCACCATGTTTTACTCAAAAAATTCAGTTACATTTTAGAGGGAGAAACTAAAAAGATAAAGCACCAAAGAACATACCCGCTTACTTGGAACAGGCTTTATACCAAGCTCCCTACCGGCTCTTGTTATAATTGTCTGCATCTGTGACCTATAGATCAATAAAACAAACAAGTCAATCCTATGTATCCTTCTGATTGCAACTTCAAAAGGCTGGCATAGAAGAGAAGAATGCCAAGGAACATGAAACAAGAAGACCAACTGCCACCACCACTACAACAAAGCATTAAAACAAAATAGAGTAAAAGTATAACCTGAAAAATCTAATTTTCTGTGGCAAAGGGACACCCAAATCATCGCTAATCGATACGATGGCATCCTTCAAGGTGATGCTGTTGATGACATTGTTTGGGAAGTACTTGGTATATTGAAGCGAGAGCGTACTGTCACAGACGACTAGCTCCCAGATCTTTTTCCCTCTAATATCTAAAATTGGTCTTGAACAGAAATCCAATTCCCACTCCGAAATGCTTTCTCGATCGATTTCTGGGTCCAGATAACTCACTTCCGCTGTCGGGTCCCCATACTCTTCCTCATCATCAGTTAGAGCTGAAGCTGAAGGCTTCTCTGTCGGCGACGAAGTCGGGCTTTCGGAGACAGAGTTCAATCGTGATCGAGACAATCTGGGCTGGGAAATTTGTGGGTTTGTGGAGAAATGAGAGGAGGGGTATACGATTTTGTTGGGTTTTGAGAGGGAAAGGGAACTGGAGATGGGTTTGTGAGATTGAAGTCTCGGGGTTCTGATTCTGGCGGGATTGAATGTTAGAGTCGCCATGGCTTCACTCCTACCCCTTGCCCACTGAAGCCTTACAAGTTCCGACCGAGAGAGGGAGAGAGAAGCTATCCACCACACATATCCGTTGGTGGCGGTTACGAAGTTCTATCTACAGGTAAAACTTGCTGAAATGCGCGGTTACACTCTTTTCTCCCTAAACATGTCGTTCGGTTCGCTCAAAAAATCAGCTACACCACTTGGAGCAGCGCAGGCAAAAACTGTGAATCACGGCCTTCGATGTATTGATGTGGTCTTACCTTTGAATCGGATGAAATAACTCAAAGGCTGTGATTTTAAGGTTTTAGCCCAGCGCTACTCTATGTCTCTACGTGGAATAGCTGATTTTGGAGTATTCTGTAATTTGGAAGAGAAATTAAAAATATTATTTTATTGATAAAAATATTAAAATTTATTATTTAAATAAATGAAAAAATAATGGAGAAGGAGAATTTCCGGATTTGTGTTAGAATTAACATTAAAAATTAATATTTTAATGATAAAATATTAAAAAATAAAATTTAAAAAATTATTATTTCAAAATTTAAAATTTAAAAATAAAGAAAAGTATGTAAAAGAGATGCATTATATCAAAATAGAGTGTAGAAATATTATGGATCAACCACATCTACCAGATATATGTGAGGCTGAGATTTTGGAATATGGACAAAGACAATCCACGATATATTGTGAACCATCTCCATCTATAGCCAACCAAACTCTGTGGCCATTCAGTGGTATGGACCGAAACAGGCCATCCACGAGATGACAATAGAACCGAACACGACCTTCTTCACGTTAGATTCATACTTTGGACCCTAGACATGTAAAACATCCGAGAAATGGGCTTTGGATGGTGGGCTTTGAAAATTTGTTGGGTTGGGGATCCACATTCTATGGCCGACCCATTATGGGTTTGAAAATTTGTGGGTTTTCTTGGTTCACACATGGTTTGTTTTTTTTTCTTTTTTTTAATAGGGGTTTTACCGTTCAGTCCACCTCTAAAATCCTAACTCCACCATACAATTGGGGGTAAGTACCAGCTCGGAATTGAGGCCAATTCATGGGGGGTGGTACGAGTGTTATAGGTGAAGTTGTTTATAAATTTGAATTGTTGTAGATCTGGAGTTCAAATCTGAATTCTGAGATGGAGTGCAAGCTAAAAATCCCAAAAAAGTATTGATATTTTGGTAGTACATATGCTGTCAACGGTCGGGGTCTAGTTTGCTACAGCCTGTGTCAGGCCCCTTCGGATTATTACTCAGGAGTCAGGACGAAACCATGGCCCAGAATCATTCGATCAATAATCCGATCTGATGCGATTATACCTAGTTATACTAACAACTATAATTATTTAAATAAATAACAATATAAAACTTGATTTTTAATATTGTAATCTTAATAAAAACCACAATAAAAACAATTATTTATATATTAAAAAATTAAGTATTTTTAATCAAAATTATCTTATACATTATCTATCATATTTATACTTTTACACGTAAAATATAATAAAATTACAAAAAAAAAACTAAAGCACCTTTATACATTATTAAGAAGTAATTGGTTCAAAACAAATAAGAACCAAAACCAATATAATTGATTTGGTCAGTTTGTATCTATTGGATAGAATCACTTATTGATATTTTATATAGGGATGGCAATTTTCTCCATTTCCCCAATCCCTGTGGGGATCCGCCCCGAATGGGATAAGGATGGGGATGATTTTCCCCCGTGGGGATGGGGATGGGGAAATTTTCATCCCCGTTAGCGGGGACGGGGAGACGTGGGGACCCCAATCCCTACTTCGTGGGATCCCCACTAATATATATGTATATATGTGTGCATACGTTATATATGTAAATATGTAAACATATATTGATATATTAATATTTTTAAAAATATGGTTGAATATTTTATAATATGATTGTAAATGTTAATTATTTTTATTTTTTATTTTTTTAATAAAATAAAAAACAAAAACAAAATGGTTAGCATTATAATGAATCATGGGTAATGGGGATCCCCCGTGGGATGGGGATGGGGATAACATAGTCCCCGCTAGCGGGGACAAGTATGGGGAGAGGCTCCTCGTCCCCGCCCCGCCCCATTGCCATTCCTAATCCCATAGTCAAAAATTTAATTATCATGAGGCTCACGAACTTAATTGAGCTTATATATTCATATATATATATATATATAATATTTTTATTTTTATAAAATAGTTGACTCAAAATCAAACTTGAGTTGAACCGAGTTCAAGTTTACGAGCTTTTGATTCTAGCCAAACTCGATCTCAAGTCTCGAGTACGAATTAAGCTCTTAAACTTGAGCTCGAGCTTCATACTTTATTGGCAAATTGACTTCAAATAGCTAAATATTTAGCTTGGCTTGATTCGAATCCACCCCTAGTTAAAAGCATTACACTTGTTTTTTGTTGATTATGACTTATTCTTCCATAAGGCTTTTTTTCATAATGGTTTATTTGTTTTTACTTATCTTAGTAAGTATGTTTATTCGGATAAGTGTATTCTCCTTTTAATGTTCTTTTAAGCTATCAATTACTTGGTAAATAACGAGGTGAAAAGGAGAATACACTTATCGACTTCAACAAGTGAATAGGTAAATTGTTTATCCACCTAGCACCAGAGTGTGAGTTAATCAAAGGGATAAATAGACTGCACTCTACCTTAAAATTCTGAATTCCACTGCATACCTATAACAATTTAAATTTTCAAACAACTCCATCTATAAAACCAATACCCACCTATATATGCTAACTGTACGGTAGGACTAAGATTTATTAGAATAGACCGAACAATACCACTTAATCAAACAATTGATACTCGTAAATATCATGAATTACCATTGAACCCAATATAACGACTGATGAAAACAGATATTATGGTCTAACTTCCCAAATTAACCAATTTACCCTACTAAATACCTGCAAACGAACTGGCGTAGATGGTATTCTCATTGATTTTGTCAAAATTCTGGGTTAAAGTGAATCTTGGTAAATCTGAGATTCATTTCATCACGAATGCTCTTCATCACTTTGGCACATGATAGATTTTTAAGAATCTTTAGCTATCCCCAAAGCAAGCTCATGGAATTTCAAATACATGGGAGTTGGGGTTGCCTTTCCAAATTGGAAGGAAAAAGTAGGGTTGCACAGGTTCGGGTTATCGGGTTGCCCCGACGATATACAACCATAACCGAGTGCAATGTCTTATAGATGGTAAGATCTTATCTGTAAGACATCGGACTATGGAAAACCCTAGATTACATACATATATAAATCCTATCTCTGAGTGTATCATTCCTCGTTTCCTCTCTCTCGAACTCGTACCTTACCGCCCTCACCAGAGGTAGAGAGAGCAGAGCAATGGCTGAGAGAGGTGGAGAGAGAGGAGGTTTTGGTAGGGGCTTTGGCCGTGGAGGTAGAGGCGATCGCGGTCGCGGTCGCGGAGGCCGTGGTGGTGGTCGTCGCGGCGGCGGCCGTCGTGATGAAGAAGAGAAGTGGGTCCCTGTGACCAAGCTAGGGCGACTGGTTAAGGAAGGAAAGATCAGAAGCTTGGAGCAGATCTACCTCCATTCTCTACCAGTGAAGGAACACCAGATCATTGAGACGCTGTTGCCTCAGCTCAAGGACGAGGTAATGAAGATCATGCCGGTTCAGAAACAAACCCGGGCTGGTCAGAGGACTCGATTCAAGGCCTTCGTCGTCGTCGGTGACGGTAACGGCCATGTCGGATTGGGTGTGAAATGCAGCAAGGAAGTGGCAACTGCTATTCGTGGCGCTATTATTCTGGCGAAACTGTCTGTGATTCCGGTAAGGAGGGGCTACTGGGGTAACAAGATCGGGAAGCCACACACTGTGCCGTGCAAGGTTACCGGTAAGTGTGGGTCTGTTACAGTTCGGATGGTGCCGGCTCCTCGTGGCGCTGGAATCGTTGCTGCTAGGGTTCCGAAGAAGGTTCTGCAGTTCGCTGGTATTGAAGACGTCTTCACTTCTTCTCGTGGGTCCACCAAAACACTCGGGAATTTCGTCAAGGTTCGTTTCCATTAACTATAATCAGTTTTGGATCTCTTTATATGGTCTTGATGTGTCTGTTTTTTGTTAATGCTTGAATATTGGTAGTATTCCATAAACATAGTTTTACGATTATTGTCAAAATCCTGCGTCAATTGATTAACGTTTGAGTGAATTTAGTTGAAATGTTGGGTTGCCTATCCATATCTAACGAGGTAGATCAATCTGTTTTGGAACTCTTTATATGGTTTTGATATATCTATTTGTTTAGGTTCGTTAATAATTGAATATTGGTATGATTCTATAAACTTCATTTCGCTATCATAGTAAAAGTCTATGGATTGATTAATGTAATGTTATAGCGAATTTAGTGGAAAAAGTAGGTTATGCTTTACCTGCCCATCGTAATGGTTTGCAAATGGTATGTTCTAATTAGCGTGCATTAAAATGGTACCTTCTTAACTGTTAAATTTTGTAGTGGTTTCAATTGATGTTATTACTTCTGAGCTTATGTTTTCACATCATGTGATCATGGTTAAATTTTATATAACGTACTTTCCCATTTTTGGAGTTGAGATGGTGGTGACTCTGTATGCAGCGGTATTATTATATTTTAGATCAAAGGGGATATGTCCCTCGAGAGAGTGAGGATGACAATTGTTTTTTTGATTGATTAATGGAATGGAGGCTTAGGATATCTGAAACAGCCTTTGAATAGTTGGTCCATGGTGTGATTAAGTTCGGTAAGTTGTGTTTGTATTCTGGCCCTAGTTTTTTAGGACTTTGAAGTTGTCTGGATGTTTTACTTGACTTAAATGTAACCCAACATTGCTCAAAATTGTCTAATAAGGATTGAGATTTGCCAGGCGTTATGATTTGCTTTTAGGTCCCAGTCTATGGTACTTGCAGAATTTATGGTTATAAGCTTCTAATTACTTTCATTTTAATCTATGTATTCATTGTATCCATTAGAAGATTTTGTTACATAAATTAGCAGTTATTGCCATTGTCCCTTTTCTGGTTCAGAGTGATCCTTGTTGGATGGTTGTTAGCCCATTATATCGAATTTTACTGTGGATCTAAAAATTCCCAAGGCTGTATATATCATACTGTATTATCTATCATGACTGGAAAGAATTTACAGTGCCTATGCTTAAGGCTGTAATTGGGTTGAATTTGGATCTGATCTGGCCACATTTGAATCCAATCCTATATCTAAGTCTTAAATCCTAATCTGATCCAAAATCCAATTGAATATAGGGGTCTCAGATGTCATTTTGTTTCTTTATGATTTTTGATTGGATTTGTCATTATTCTGGTTTCACTTCATCCTTAAATAAATAATAGTCTAAAAAGTAAATACTTATTAACTCCTGCATAAATAATAAGTTTACGTAATATAAAATATTGAATTTTATTAGTTATTTGCTATACCATGCATAGGTATTCACATAATTATATATACCATAGAAAATGTAATTCGACTATGAAGTTAATTGGATTTGTTAGGGTTAAAACCAAATCCAATGCAATTATGTAAACACATAAGCCAAATCTGAAATAACTGGATTGGATCAAGTGTTGGGCTTTGGGACCCCATTTACGGCCCATCTCTTTTTGTTCTTTGGTGTGAACTGTTTTTCCTGTTGTTAGACATTAGTCCAAAATTGATCAAAAAATAAAGAGACATTAGTCTAAAGAAGACTATCTGGTCTGAAAATAAGTTGGTTCTAACAAAAACACATTAAACATGTCTCTGGTTTTATCCGCGTTTGTTTTGTTTCCCAATCTGGAACCAAAAATGTTAGAATTTCACGTTTAATGAATATATTTTCAACTGGTAATTTTGTCTCATATTTCACAAATCATATAATATCTATAATTGAAAATTTCTTTTTGTTTCGAGGACATTGTTTAAATAGCCTGAATTGCTTTTTTGAAACAGAATCCACTTGTTTTTGCTTTTCAAACTTCAGAGGGAGAAAAAAACAGATCAATTTTGTGTTTCAAGTTTGCCCATAAAAAGGGGCTTGAATTCGACGTGGCAATATTGTAAACAAATGGAACTTATCAAAAAAAAAGTTAAAAACAACTGAAAACAAAAACTCTACATGATATTTGGTGATCGTGTTTCTAAGCTGTGGAGAACTCAGGAGCTTTTGGAGGACTGTGCATACTCTTTCGCCTTTTGCACTGCACGTGCAGTAAAGTAGTCGTTATTGTATATTTGTATTGCAATATACTGTAGTCACCTTTGGTCTTTTTATTTTCATTTACCTTTTTGCTTGTGCAGTGAATGGTTTCCATAGAATTTTGATTAATTGGAAATGATTATTATGGGTTTTGCCCTGTGCAGGCAACCTTTGACTGTCTGTTGAAGACGTACGGATTCCTTACACCCGACTTCTGGAGGGAGACTCGCTTCACTAAATCCCCATTCCAGGAGTACACGGATCTGTTGTCGAAGCCTACAAAGGTCCTCATTACTGAGGACACCACCAAGTTAGACGATTAGTGAGAGAGATCCTGGTTGGTAAAAAAAAAGCTAGGTAGAGTCGGTATTTCTTTAATTCGGCCTCTATATATTTTTTCTTTTGCGAATGTCCTTTTTCTTTTGAAGGTACAAATGAATGGGATTTTAGAATTTTCATTATGTTCTTTTTTGTTTGTACAAGAGTTTTGAATTGACAATTTAGCATCAAAGTTTCTTGGTTTTATTTGTTCCAACTGTTGCAGTCGAACTTTGTTTCTCGGTTGAAAATTATTTAACTACTTTCTACGCTAAATCTTGCTGCCGTGCATCTGTTAGGTTGGATGAGTTTAACTTATGATTTGAGAATAACCAAGTAGGAAACCTACAAGTTCAAGTGATGAAAACTACTTGTGCCTGAACTTGGGCATGACACTACAAAGTAGGTTAGCTATCTTTAACACTGTATCTTATGCCATAAACCCTATTGCTGAATGCTGAAGCAATGCCATAGGCTATACGTCTGTTCGCAATTTCTATGATGCCATGACTATTGTCCGGGAAGAAGTTTGGCCAATAAGAATCATTTGAAGAATACCAGCCTGCTGATAAGGTTGCAAGTCGGGTTTGAGCCAATAAGAGTCAACAACTTGAATTGTTTTGGGCTTCGGCGAAATTTTGACAAAATCCCAAGTCCCAACTCAACCCTATCTCGCAAAATTTGCACCCCCTATCGTTGCCTTTCATTGTCGTCGGACTTTCTTTCTTGTGGTCATGACAAGTCTCGAGCTTTTTTAGCAAGATCTTCGCCTCTGCCCTTTTTTCTGGTAAGTAAATTTAAGCAACTAAGAAGAAAATAAAAAATTTTAAGCCTCCATTCCACGTGTGATGCATTTCATTACATGATTTGTCTGCCTTGTCAAGGGCAAACGATTTTGGCTTCAGTCAGGGCAAAGCCCCTCCAAACAGTCTTTACTGCTTTGCATTGAGAATATCTCTGTACTGATGTGCTTTATTTCATGGGGAGATATTTCCAAAGGAAAGGTTATTAGATTGGTGTGGACGCAGGTTTGCCCTGATGGAAGTGGATTTCCATGTTCTGTATTATTTGGTATATGTTTGGCATGGTTGCTGATGTGTGGGTTGGAAGCATTGGAAATGTTGCTGTCAGGTAGGATCTTTTTTGGAGCAACAACAATGTTTTTTGTTTGGTACTAATGCTCGAGGAAACATTTTCAGCATTGGTACGTATTATCCAGTGCCATGCCATGTATTTATCACTGCCACCTCATGTCCTTATTGACAGCAAAGAGCTGCATCTAAACACCAAATTCGGCGTTATTCCAAGCCACGTCTTCCCAATTTTCAAGGTGGCTTGGAACACTATTTTTTATGAAAATATGGTTCTAAACAAACAGGTTTTTCCTAGAGCACTGTTTTTTCCGATGTAGTGTTGATGTATTGCCATTTTCTGGAGCAACGACATCGATGCCAAATAAACTCTTGATACACCTTGAATTACTTGCAGTTGAAGAAGAATTAAAGTAACCTTATAATTCTGGTGGAGTCTAGTTTTTGACTTTCTGTTGGTGTGATGGCTTGCCACGCTATCGCCCTTATCATGCCAAGTCTTAGGAAGTTTATTGAAATTTATCCTACTGATTGAAAAATCCCTTAAAAATTAAAATACTCCTATTTATCTTCCTCCTTTTTTTTTCTCAATTTATTGCAAAATATAAGCTTCTCCTTTTTCTTTCTTCTACCACTATTATTAATATCAAGGTTCAAAATATCAATATGCCTGATAACAGTCTTTTTTATTTTTTTAAAATTTAAATTTAAATTTTTATTTATTTATTTATTTTTAAATCAGTTTCAAAGGGGTCAGTTTAATGTTCACCCTCTAAAGTCAAAACCCCAATACACCCTCTCTAGGGACATATCGGAAAATATATCAACTGAAATGACCTGATATATATTGATACTTTGAACCTTAACTATTACTACTACTACTACCAGTTTTTATAATATGCCTATGGGGCGAGGCACCCCCTGCATATCCTCTCCCCATTGCCTAAATCCCTACCCCGTCCCCACTCCATCCCTGTATAGGGGAATGAATTCAGCCCCTATAAAGTAGCTATTCTATGAAAATGAGTTTATAAAGTAGCTATTATAGTTGATAATTATGGATGACAAGTATAATTGGCTCTATCCGGTCAGACCCAATTGTCCCAATAAATAAATTATTCTTTTTCGGGTGTCAGGTTTTGTCCTAATTGCTAATTAGAATGGGACTGATACACCATATGTCTAACCAGACACAAACCATTGACAGCCCTAGCCAAATAAGGATGCCAATAGATTGAGTTTTGTGATAGACACTCACACTGACCTGACTTATTGGATTGGGTCAAGTTGGGCTTAAATGGATTTTGATTGAGGTGGATTCATGCTGGACCAACTCGTTGACATTACAGCATTGAAACCCTTACATTATCAGTTTGATTCATTGCAAGTGCACTGTGCAAGAGATTCGTTAGGTTGGGTTCAGTATTTCCTTTCTTTAGATCAGGTTCAGATAAAGCCGAGCCCATATCAAACCTGACCCGTTGACATCTATAATGCCAAGCATTCGAATTCTTTGTGGTGTAGTCTCATAAAATACAAATCCATCTTACACCACAATGATATAAGTTTTGGGTGACACCCAGCAACATTGACACTTGGAGGGCCCACTTAAAATGACAACGTTTTTGGATGTATGATGATGATGTAAGATGAACAATTGAATATATAAGAACATAAAAGAAAACACTTTTATGTTTAGTACCACAGGGGTGCAGATCAGCAGATGCGAGTTCAGTCGGGTGGGCTCTCGGAATGCCCAAATGCAGCCTTAGCCCAAAGAGCCCCTGTTAATGAATTTTGTTTATAACATATATAATTTCCACCAAATCAACATAAATGATCATATAAGTATTGGTCCACATGTGCCAATTTTTCTTGTTTAATAACAAAACTAACCTTGGCCAACTAATCTATCCTATTAACTACTACTTATATAGAAAAAAAAAACCCTTGGTGAGTTGGTTCCATTCACCTGCCTAAGTTAAATTTGAGTGAATGGATAAGCCTGTTTTTAGGATTTTGGTTCATAGGGTGGAGTTGAATGAAGGGTATTTTTGTAATTTTGCTAACACATCTAGTTCTATTAATAAAGTAAGCGAAGTTTACAAGAGTGAAGCAGTGAACCTCAAACCAAGCAGACATCAACTTAGGAAGCTCTCCCTCAGAGAATCCACCTAAACATGCCAACCTATGATCTTCTCCTTTTACATTGCCTTTTAACAAAAGAAAAACGAACAGTAGTAGAAGACAACAAGCAGTAAAAACAAAAAAATAAAACCTTCCCTCGAGCCAAAAACACGTCTTCTGAGTTCTGATATAGCAAAAGCTTCAGTTAGGAAGGGTGTAAGAGCATATAAGTTGGGTCTTGTACTAGACTTGATTTTAATGCCCATAACTTGAAGGCCATGGCTATGGTGATCATGGGCCTAAGTCCAGGCTGGGATTCTGCGTCTAATGTATTAGGTCCAATCCTATGCCCTCTTTTGTACCCCGTATGTTGTCTCTTCTTCTGTGTTTGGTTTGAAGGAAAAAGTAGAGAAACCTTTATAAACTTTGTATAAGTTTCTCTACATTTCCCTTTCTTTCACTACCTTTTTCCTTCAAACCAAACATAACCTTCATTAAACTGTTCACCCCAAAACTGTTAGAAAAGTATTTGGTTGTGAGGCGTCTAAAGTGAAAATGTGGTCATTTTCCAATTTAGGGGGCTGTTTGGTAACGTGGCTTAATAACGTGCCGATCATTTCAATCAATTGGGCCCCACTGTGGTGTGAATCCACACTCACACGGAAGTAATAAAAAAAATGGATATGTTTGATAAAGGCTCTACGAGAAAACATCAATTCAGGACCAATGGTGTCCCGCATATGTTTAACCTAATCTGTTAGATTATTTATTTCCTCTGATGTTAAAGGTGTTAATGGACCAGTTTTGGATTGAACCCCGTCCAGTCCAAAATCAATTTGAATGGATTAACAAGGCATATGGATTGGACCAATCCAGTCTAAAATATTTATTAGATTGGATTGGACCTGGTCTGTCTGTAACAAATTTATATTAGATTGGGTTGGATTAAGCCAATATCTGGTCCATTGATATAAGATAAGAATATATGTGTTAATGGACCGGGTTTGAGTTGAAACCAATGTAAATCAAAATAAATTCGAACAGATTGGATAGTCCAAACATTGAATTAGACTGGTCCAAATTAGTTCAAAACATTCATTGGATTGGATTGGACCTGATCCATTTATAATAGACTCACATTGGACTGGATGGACCAAATCCAGCCCAATTGACACCCCTAGTTATTGTCATGAACCCATCTTTAATTTACCCCCTCGTTATTGTCACCCACAGAAACTTTTTTGTGCTGAGGACCATATATACCTTTTGCTTTTAATATATATTAGCTTCCACACAAGCCATGTAAGGTGTACGGTCCTGATTATGAGATGGCCATCTTGTTCTGGGTAATACATCTCTTGAATCCAGAAGAAAATGTCTTGAACCCACAATTATCTTCCGAATAAAATTTTGAAGACTTTATTCAATTCTAAACTTGTTCCATTGCAATACCATGTTTGTAAACTCAATGTAGTAAAAATTGTCAAAATGTAGTAGCTTCTTATTAAACTAAAACTCCTGAACTGACCTTAAACAGCTAAAAAAGACTTACAAAAATAAACCTGAACTCAAAAACTCGAGAACTCAGAAAAATTCTAGAAGTAATCAAAATTCATTTGGATTTCAACTCTATCTGTCCATTGATTTTAAACTTAGATGCTAAAATTGCTGGTAGGTGATGAAGCGAGGGAAAGTAGATTAAGAAATATTTTCTTTTGTAAGTTGAAAGGTCTAAAAAGAGCTATGTTGAGTTGTGTAAATCAATTTCCACTTTACCATGGTCTATGGCTACCCGATTATGTTTCTTAGAATTTTCTTTGAAATCTTGCTTACATTAGCTAGCATGTCATGATGGCTTGTCCTTTGGATGCTTGTTAGCAAACTCGCATTATGTTCAGTTTCAAAAATAAGGAGCCATCTGTACTCTTTTTTGTTGTGAGAGTAATGTTTTCATGAATCTCCGTCCTTGTTAACAATGTGGACTCTCTACATAACTCGATCTGCCTCTCGATGTAGCCAATGCGTTTGTCTTCTCCTTCTTTCATTTTTGGTCCCTTTCGTTTTTTTCGGTATTTTGGTAACATGCTTATCCACCCTTCAAGGAGAGTATCGGTTATCCGGGAAATTGATATTTTCTAGAAAATGATTTTTGGGAAAATTTAATTTTAGTATTCTGAATTTTGGGGTAGTGTCAAGTTCGTACCCAAACTTTCAAATGTGTCATTGCAGTACCTAAACTTTCAAAAAATGTCCCTTCCATTAACCGACCGTCAGTTATCTATTGAAAATGTCAAAACTACCCTTCAAAAGAAGACACCATTTGTCGTTTTCTACTTTGAGACTTGACCAATTGAGGTGTTTGAGATTTTAGACTAACGAAGTCATTGTTTTCTACCTTTAGATCTGAAACACATTCTTGTCTAGTTACTTCTTTGCTTTCAGTTATCGTTACCTTCTATCATATTTCATGTTTTTTCTCTTTTTTTCTTTGAAGATAATCAGTTCAATCTCAAAGTAGAAGACAATGAATAGTGTCTTCTTTTGAAAGGTAGTTTTGACATTTTCGATAGATAACTGATGATTGGTTAACGGCAGAGACCAGCTTGGTACTTTTTAAAAGTTTAAGTACTGCAGTGACATGTTTGAACACTACCCCTAAGTTCAGAGTACAAAAGTGAAATTTTCTCAATAATTTTTCTGTGAAACCCTTTGGTGAATTACCTGATTTACCAATTTACCCCCAACGAGATATCGATAAACAAATGAGGCCTTATAGTGCCATGAGAGCTTTGGTTAGCATGTTGATTGATATCGGTTATAAGATGAAAATTAATCCTATTCTGTATAGGGCCTACCATGGTATGGGCAGTATAATTATTTGCTTAATCCTTTTCAAATGCTTGCTGGAATACACATCTATGAGCACAGAGCATCCCTTTCATACAAGACTTAATTGGATGATCACCAACAAACCAAATCTGGGATCATATGATTCCAGTTGAAGTAAATCTTTAATCCAAGAAACATTTCAAATGATATGTCAAATCAACTTCTCATTGCCTCTTATATGTTGTTCCTCCTTATTCCTACTCCTGGAAGTTATCACTGTAGTAGAAATTCTGGAAGGTCCTACAACTGTTTTTTTCTGCACAATTTGATGCCGCTTTATTTCATTGTAGCCGTTTGTGTCCACTCATAAACAATAAAAAATCATGCTTTGCAGCTGCTTCAGTCAAGATGCCGATAATATTGGGTAAGGAATAGTCTTCATGTCTGTCTTCTTGGGCTCCTCAAAATCTGTAACGTATTTCATTTTACTCTTATTTCATGTCCTCCTTTCACTCTGAACTACAGTAAATTCTGACCACATTTAGGACATTGAAAGCACCTTCTCTCTCGTGTTTCAGTTTTTTTTTTTTTTTCCATTTAAATCTGTGTTGCAGAGCTCTGTGCAAGGGCCTGAGAGCACTGAGCACCTCTTCTTTCCATATTTGTGATCTATCAAGTGGTGGCACATGCTCACACAACACATATACACATTAAAGGTCCGTTTGGTTTAAAATTAGAATTAGAATCGTTATCAAAATCTGTTGAACCTAGAACTGAAATGGTCTATTTTCTTAGTTTGTTTGATTCATATAAGAATTGGAATGAGAATTAAAATCGGGTGGAATGGGATTTCAATCACAAGGGAGGGGAGGGAATGACCATTTTTTCGAATGGGGGAATGCAATTCTACCAAAAATGAAAATGGGTTCCCGATTTCGCCCAACTAAATAATTAGAATCCAATGCCAAACCCTTATTTCCACAAACCAAACAGACCCTAAGTAGTGGAGTAATGGAGAATTCTAAGACACAGACGGGGAGGGGTGGGACAAAGAGACTCTGTCTCCTAAATTCAAGGTTTTCATGAGAGTAGTAAATCGCTCAGGACAAGCTTTGGGAAAGTTGCAAAAGAAAACAATTTACTTAGGGGCTGGGGATGACACAACTCACAAGCAATTTAAAATACAAACATCACAAAGGACAAATTGTGAAAGAAATCAAAATATTATTCACCTGGGTTCGCACCAAAAAAATTTAATGGACATTGCTGGCATACTGGTACCATCCTTTTCAATTGGACTTTGGTTCTTAACCATGGTATGAGACCTTTTACCAAGGGTGAGAACTGAGAACAGATCACGAAAATTTGGGTCGGCTTCGTATCCAGTCTCAGACTCTCCGACAATTACTCGAAATTGAACCAGATTGAGAATAAATTAACCCTTTCCAAACTGGGTTGGTTGAACCTTGTACCATTAGTGCTCTTTCGGTTCAACCTGCCCAACAAGTAACAACTAACAAGGTCTTGTCTGCAACCTGTCTTTGTTCCAACTCTGAGGTGGTTCAAACTCTACACAATCAAGACCACTTGGTTGTAGGGTTAGCATTTCACTTTTGCTTTAGGAGGAGGCGTTTGGTTCAGTTTGGTTTCAGGTTGTTTGGCCAATCGAACTGACCTAATTGGGTTAGAAAATTGGTCATCCGAAATCGACGAATTATTAGTGAAAATTGGCCAATTCAAATTATATTGGTTTAAATTGATTTATTAGTTTGATTTGTTAGTTTAAAATATTTAAATTAAAAATTATAATGATATTATTAAAAATTAAAATTAAGAAATATGAGAATTTCTCACTTTTTTATATTAAAAAAATTAAATTTAAAATATAAAACCAACCTGACCTTTCAGGTTAGCATAATGGTAAAATCGAAACAGAAAAAAAATATAGAGAATTGATCAACTCAAATCGAGTTGGGTCAGGTTAATTATCGGTTTCATCGATTTGATGAACCGCACTAGAGAGACTAGAGATGATGGTTTTGTTTGGTTCATGGAAGGTTGATATTGGATAGCGGTATGGTGCAGAACCCAAGCTGAACAGAATTAAAACCAGTCAGGATAAGCCGACTCAGCCCAAGGAAAGTGGGTTGATTGGTCGGGTCAAGAACTGCAACCTAGACTTCCATCCTTATTCCACTGCACTTCAAAAGGCAACTAACTCAAGTTAGCTAATCCAAAGCAGATAAAGTTGAAGAATGAAAACGATCTTCATTAGACAAATAAGACCCAAAGTCTCCAACGTTTGAATAAAATAAATATTTTTAATAACACAAGGAATCATATTTCAATTTCAATGCCTCGCTAACTTTGTCCAAAAGGGATGCAACTTCCGATGCACCTCTCTATGCTCTATGTCTCTTTTTGCCTTTTATCTCAATATTTCATCTCCTCAGTTTTCTACTTTCACAAGTGAGAAATTTTAGACAGAGCCCAGAGGCTTCAGCTTTCCACTGGGGAAGATCAAGTTCTTCATGGTCACGGTTAGGTTTGCGAGGAACATGCTGTCAAGATTGGACGATCATAAGCTGCCACAATCAGAAGAGGGGCCTCCTTTGGTCGTAAGCTCATATCATTCCACACATGGGTCGATTGAGACGTTGGTAGTTGTTTTAGCCGTGATCACAATAGTTGCCGTTTTGGCTGGGATCATTGCTCGGCTTTGCGGTGGGCGTCATTTTGGCAGAAATGGGGAAAATGACATAGAAGGGTGGGTAGAGAGGAAATGCAGAAGCTGTATTGATGGTGGTAATCCAGCTGCACCACCACAGCCGGAGAACTCAAAGCCAGCCACAGAAGAAGCAAAGAAGTAAGGAGATAAATAGACAGAATTAGAGATGGGTAGTCAGATGACCTGTAAAAGCTAGCTGACATTAGGAAGTTGAAGCAGTCCGAAGCCTCAGATCTTTGATCACAAGCGAAGGATGGAACCCATCAGCTTTATATCCATAAACCCAGAAGGTAAATACTACCATATTCATATTTCATAGTGTTTTTGCTGCAGCTCTCTTTGGTCTGTCTGTATCATTTGTGTGAGACTGAGTTAATGTATGTAGGCACCATACTTGTTGTATGCCATCATGTATCTGTAATCTTTCTTCATCCCTTTATTACCATTAAGAAGGGAAATCTAATGTATCTGGTCCAGTCACACTCAGGAAAAAACTGTGGCGTAAATCCCACAATTTGATCAATCCCCATCTATCAGATCTTCTATGCTGAAGTGGATGTAGATCATTCATAGGATTCTGTTTACAGTCCAAAGCGTTTGATTAAATTTCTTAGATAGAAGATCTCCAAGGTGGGACAAGTCGGGTAAATATTGGACAATGGGTTATGCTCACATCATCTGCAGAGTGCAGGCGTGTAAATACAGTGGATTGTCGTTACTCATTGTCCTTGTGGTACTAGTAGAAGAAGTGGTTTTCTATCTTTAGGCTATGTTTGGTTTGAAGGAAAATAAAGGGAAAAATAAGGGAAGCTTTACAAACATTGTATAGGTTTCCCTGTCATTCCCTTCCTTTTCCTACCTTTTCCTTCAAACCAAAGCCTTAATTTCTTTCTCAGAATCGATTTACTGGTAAACCCTAACTAGGGGTGCGTTTGGTCTCAATGGTCACTCTTTTCCGGATTGTTTTATTTTTTTAAGTGGGTCCAGATATTTCTCGCTTTTATCAACAAAGGTTGTAACTTATAACGGTCAACAATGGTATCAGCAGGACATCGTGCAAAAGCATAGCCGCACAGCTGCAAGGGGCTGTAAAGGCTCAAAATCAAATTTATTGTATTAAGGGCATTGGTCTAAATCAAGAATTAAAGCATATTGAATTTATCAGTATTGGTGCATCCAGATATGCATAAATATTACACCCATACAGAAGTGTTTTAAAATATTTAAAAGTTTGGAAATTTTTCCTCACCCCCTAATGATTATAAAAAAAAAGTATAGTATTGCACACTATTACCCAATTTTAAGTATTGGATATGATGGTGTGCAATTCAGCTGGCCCTAGTTGTTAATGATCTTGCCTCGGGCTGGAGCAGAAGATGTCTGAAACGGAGGAGAAAGCGAGTAATCTCCGGGGAAGAACCTGGTGAGAATGCTCCGAAGCTCAAGTTAGTATTTTCTCAAAGGCAAGATAAAACCAGATGGCGCAAAGTTATCACATACCTCTCTTCTTGGGGGGAAGGGGGCCTTTTATAACCACTTCGCGCATTCACTCCTAAGCTTCTGTCTGGTCGGGTATGATTACCTCTGCGCTTCTGCCAGTTCGGGTGTCATCMCCTCTGCTGGGGCAGAACCGCCACTGCTCTCTTTGTCGGAGCCGTCTCTGTAACTAGAGATGGCGGTGGCAGGTGGCCGTTGAAGTGTGGCTGTCAAGCGTCAGATCCCAAGTCAGTCAGGTGCGCCGCCTCAGGATACGGACTCCTTCGGTGTCAGGTACAGTACGGTTGTTCAGTTCGGCGTCTTGGAGGCAAAGTGCTGGAGTGGTGTGCGAGGTGAAGTCTTGAGTTCTGATAGAGGTGTGGCCCGAACTGCCATGGGGCGGGCCAGTTTGGGTTGTTGCCCTTTGTGTTCGTAAGGCTCGGGGTCTAAGGGAGAGCTTGGGCTCCTTGTGGGGAGTTCGGACCGCGGGTTCCTCTTTTCGGAGCTCGCACCTTGGGCGTACTGTTGTGCCGAGCTGTTGCCTTTGCCACGTGTTGAGTGGTTACGAGGTCGGGTCAAATCTTCCTTCATCAATTGCCCCCCACTCCTCGCACAAAGGGACTTGCCCTGGCGCGGGGAGTTCGCGAGGTGGCGGGTGGATTTGACCCGTACGTCAAACTGGTTTGACTGATAGAGCAAAGTGTGCGTTCGTCAGGATTTTTTCGGGTTTCTCGAGCACAAAAAGTCGGGAAATGCGCCAATCCGTCTATAAATGCTGACAGACGTGACAACGCGCATTTATTTCAAATTTTAAAAAACGCGCCGCTGGGAGACGTGACATCGGGCATCTTTTCAAATTTGAAAAAATGCGCCGCTGCCGCCTTTAACGCGGGGAGACGTGCGCTAGCGCTCTTTCAGTTTTAAAAGACGTGCGGCCAGTCACGTCTCGGTCTCAGGAGACGTGCGGTCAGCGCGACTACGGGCCGTTGGATTTGCTTTGATCAGAACCGTTGATTTTCAGTTACCATGGGTATAGATAGTGGGGGACCCCAGTCACTTTGTCATTCTCCTGCGTTTTGCTTTTTGAGCTCGCGTCCAAATCTTTAGCTCGCGTTCAAGTTCCCGTAGTCTGTTTGCTTTTTTCGGGTGAGTACTTTCCTGGAATCCTTCTCCTCCCGATGTCTAGCTCGGATAGCTCAGACAGTTCTTCGAGGGGGTTAGATGCAGGTTCTACGAACCGAGCTGCATCCCCCGACAGCCCTAGTGAACTCAAGGTAGAGCTCGAGGAAGAGTTCGAACCCATAGGCTGAGTCGCCTCGGGTAGTTTGGCGTCCTCCTCCCGTCGAGGTCGGACGTTAGACTAGTTTGGGCCCTCGACCATGACGCCTGAGGGGTTTCACTCCCTTATTACCCAGTTCAACTTGCCTAGGGAGTACACCTACTTTATACCCTCGGGCAGTTTCCCTTGGGAACACGGTCTTGATGAGAACGTGATATTCTGGGAGCAGCTCGTTGCTGGGTTGCGCCTGCCTTTCCACCCCTCATTGTCGAGGTTATGAACCACTTAGGCGTTACTGTCGGCCAGCTTCACCCAAATTCTATTCGTAACTTGGTGGGGACAATCTCCCTATTTTGCGAACAGATCTTGCCTTTAGACCTG